TAGAGCACGTGTCAGCGTCTCCTTTCCAAGGTGGACAATAGTCCACTGTGTTGTCCATCCACTTACCCACCGATGGACATCTGAGCGGCTCCCACCGCTGGGCTGCCGTGGGTAACGCTGCTATGAACGTGGATGTACAAATATCTGGTCAAGTCTGTTCTCACTTCTTTGGGGTCGACTTGCTGGGTCATATGATGGTTCTGTTTCATTTTTCTGAGGCGCCTTCATACTGTTTCCCTCTGCCCACCCCCATTTTACATCCCACCATCAGCACGCAGGCTTCTGGTTTCTGCACATCCCCACCAGCCCTTGTTTCATGGGCTTTTTCTTTAAAAAAAAAAACAAAACATTGGAAAAAAAATTGATTTCAGAGAAGGGAGAGGGAGAGGGAGAGGGAGAGAGGGAGGGGGGGAGAGAGAGAGAGAGAGAGAGAGAGAGAGAGAGAGAGAGAGAAACAGCAGTGATGAGAGAGAATCATTGATCGGCTGCCTCCCGCACGCCCCACACTGAGGATTGAACCTGCAACCTGGGCACGTGCCCTTGACCGGGAATCAAACCATGACCTCCTGGTTCATAGGTCAACACTCAACCACTGAGCCACGCCGGCCGGGCAGCTTTTTCTTTTTTAATAGTAGCCATCCTAAGAGGGGTCGCCTAGAAGTAAAATTTTAAAAATATATTTTACTGATTTTTTACAGAGAGGAAGGAAGAGGGATAGAGAGTTAGAAACATCGATGAGAGAGAAACATTGATCAGCTGCCTCCTGCACACTCCCCATTGGGGATGTGCCCGCAACCAAGGTACATGCCCTTGACCGGAATCGAACCTGGGACCCTTGAGTCCGCAGGCCAACGCTCTATCCACTGAGCCAAACCGGTTAGGGCGCCTAGAAGTAATTTTAACTCAAAAGTCACTGAATCCTTTTACTGGCATCTCCCCAACACCCTAGACAGGGTATACAAACACCATCAGCCAGTCTCCATTCCTGGATCCCCCTGCCCGTGCCTCCCTCACCCGCCCAGCTGCTCCTGCCCGGGCTGCCACGCCCCCTGCCTCCGGCCCAGGAAGTTCTCCACGTTTCAGTCCTTAGTTTGGCGTTTGTCCTGCCCCCCCCCCCCCCCCCAAAATCAGGGCTCCGGGATCTACACCCAGAGGAAGAACAGGTGGGCACGACCAGCGTCGTCCAGAGGTGGGGGTCCCTGCAGGAACTCATGGCCAGGTCTGGCCATATCTCTCCCCTCTCCCCAAACCTCCTTGATGAGCCAACGCCACACCAGGAGCCGGCAGGCCTGCGGGCCTGGGGTCAGAGCCCAGCAGTGTAACCTCGGAGGTTCTCCCACGCCCGCCCGCGGCCGGGCCCTCTGGGGCTGAGGAGACCGTGGGGAGGAAGGGCGTCGGAACCCATCCTGCGTGTCACTCATCACAGGTAAGTGCTCAGCCACTCTGAGCCTGTTTCCTCCTCTGTGAACAGGGTGATGTGTGTCTCCTGCGGCCGCCGCCCTGATGACCACACACAGTGGCTTAAAAACCACACATTTATTTTTCGACGGGTCTGGCGGTCAGAAGTCTAACATGGGGCTCAGGGGGCTCAAACCAGGGTGCTGGCCGGCTCGGTCCTCACAGAGGCTCTAAGGGAAGATTCGGTTTTCTGGGGTTTTTTTGGTTTTGTTTTATTTTTCCACCTTCAGAGCTGACCCTGACCCTCCCGCCTCCCTCTTTTCCTGATAAGGATCCCGTGGTTGCATTGGGCTCACCTGGCGAATCCAGAAGACTCTCTCTTCAGGGCAGCTAATCAGCACCTTTAATTGCACCTGCTCCCTCCATGCCCCTTGATGTAACATGGCCTCGGGTTCTGGATAAGGAACCAGGCCGTTCTTCTGCCCACCCCAGGGGTTATACATCCCACGTGGAGAAGGAGGAATAAGCCCCCCTACACGTTCGCCAGTGTTTGATGACTTTGGTTGTTAGAATGTGGGTGATTTCTCACCCTCTCTGAGCCTCAGTTTCCTCGCCTGGGAAATGGGACCACCCAGCACTGAGTGGATGGCCGCGCGGTTTCAGGGAGAGGCCGCCTGTGAGTGCTGGTCTCAGTGCGGCAGGTGGCAGGGCCCAGGTGGTTGGTCTCCCGTTAGTTGCCCATCTCCAGAGCGAGCCTCAGTGAAGCCGGCCCCTCCGGTCTCCCCCTCACGCCTCCTGCGGTGTCAGCGCATCCCGACCTGTGGCTGCGACCTTGGCAGGTTTGCCTGTGGGGCCTGGGCCCACCTGCCTGTGTCAGGCACGGAGGTCAGACTCGTCACGGCTCCCGCCCTCTCCTCATGGTGACCCCCCCACTCAGGCTTTCTCCTCCCAGGTCAGCGCCCCCTGGAGGCTGCCCCTGCCCCATCCCTTCTAGGGAGTCCTTGGGTGGTGCTCTGTACGGGTTGTGACCCACAGGCCTCGATCACTTGCCCTCTGACCCCAACCAGTCGCTGGGGGCAGCTGGAGGCTGTGATGCGTTCTTCGGCCGGGCCTGGGTCACAGGGTCCCCCTGGAGCCAAGCTGAGAAGCGGGTGCTGGGGTGCTGCAGGCATCCTCTCCCTGCCATCTGCCTGGTCTCCACTGGGGGGCCCCCATCAGCACGGCCTCATACCACCCCAGCCCCCTCCTCGCATACCCTCTTACTTGCTAATTGTCGTGTGTGTGTGTGTGAGTGTGTGTGTGTGTGTGTGTGTGTGAATCTGGCCTCCCTAGGGAGGCTGCAGGCCACTTCCTGGGTGGGCTTAAGAGTTAGACTCCTAATCACATCCTTTTGCCGTTATGTTGGGTGGCAAGTCACCTGCTTAACCTCTGAGCCTGTTTCTCTCTTTATTGATTAAGGTATTACATATGTGTCCTTATCCCCCCACCCCCCACTCATGCCCTCACCCCCTGGTGTCTGTGTCCTGAGCCTCAGTTTCTTCATTTGCAAACTGGGTGTAATATGAATGACACACCCGTCAGGGTTGTCATGGGGACTGACAGTTGGTTCACGGCAGTGCCCAGCCCGGGGCCTGGCGCTGTGAGGGTGCAGCTGCTCGCACCACAGCCTTCGTCCATCCACCCCAGGGGTCACCAGAGGTAGCCCCACCTCATCCCGCTGGGCTCCGGCTCTGGAGTCTGAGCCCTGGACTCGGTGCTCCTCTTCACTTGGCCTAGAGTCCTCCCCCCCGCCTTCCTGAGCAGCGAACAGGGCTGAGACGGTGCCTGTCAGGAGCCTGGCGCTGAGGGACAGCGAGTGGCAGCCGTGCTAACTTATTGGTGGTGACAGTCTCCTCCCAGTGTCCGGGGTGATGGGAATGTGGCATCAGAAGACCTGGATTCCATGTGGCTGTGGTGTCACCTCTCTGGGCCTCAGTTTCCCCATCTGTAAATAGGGTCTGCCCTGCGAGGTGTGATGTTGCTGTCCACCCCGCCCACCCCGCCCTGGGAGCCACAGAGCTGCCGTTCAGCCTTTATTGACAGACAAGTTATCCAATACTACGCTTACATAGTGTCCGCGTCACCCGAACACGGGGCTTCATTAACAACAGCTCAAACTTCGTAACGTGTGGGGGCGTGTCCCCCAAAGCAGCCGGCAGAGCCGGGCAGACGGGCAGCACAGGGCTGTGTCTGAGGACTTAGAGATGGCTCTTCAAGACAGGGCTGAACCCCCAGTCTCCCCGGGGGCTGGCTGACCTGCTGGTTCATTGGAAAATTCTGGCTTGAGGATTAGGGAACCCCCCCACCCCCAACACACAGAAACATCTAGTTGCTCAAGCCACGAGCTGGGAGATTCCTTTCTCCTTTCTCCACGCCATGCACCTGGCTCCCCTCCGCCCCAGCTGTCTACAGAACCCGCCACTGGGAAAGTCAGTAATTGGCAACAAGAGGGAAAAAACCACATTAAAATGGCCACAGGGCAATGGAATGGACAAGTGCCAATGAATACTCGGCATCGCAGCTTCGTCCCCCCGCACCCCCGCACCCCCTCACCCCCGCACCCCCTCACCCCCGCACCCCCGCACCCCCTCACCGTGTGGGTCGAGCTTTCCAGCGTTCAGTTTGCTTTCTTCCCATTGGGGCGTCTTAAATTCCAGACACAAAGCCCCCCTCCCCCATTCATTCAACCCGATTTGCCCTTAGGAAGCCCTGGCGACCCAAAAGTGTGGGGCGCCCACCCCCTTCGTCCACGTGGGGAGAGATCGGAATCGTGACTGAACAGTTCGGAAACTATCTGGTCTCTACGTTTTCAAAACTGGATGCTTCACAGATCAAAAGTGCTTGTTCCTTCTACAGAACAGCCCGGGCCGCAAGGGGACTCAGAGCCCTTTGGAGATGGGGTCCGCGGAGAGCTTAGGTGTTAGGGTTGCCGGGATGCAGACAGGGACCCGGAGTCTCATTCCAGGGCTGCGGCTGTATTCGAAGAGGTGGCTTGATTGGGCTCCAATAAATATAAATAAATGTACGCGGGGTCACGTGCCTGTCGTGGCCCAGGAATCTGCTCTACGGGCTTCTAGGAGACTACAGGAGGAATGGGCCTGGAGGCCGGGGCGGGGGGGGGGGGGGGGCTGGTGGAGGGGGGCGGGCACCCATTTTCCAAGTTCAGCCTCTTGCAATCCAAGAGAAGTCAGGTTGCCACCCTGGGCCTCAGGGCCTGTCCACTAGCGGCTGCGGCAGATGGTTCATCCGAGGAGAATAAATTAAAGGGCCTTCCTTCCCACCAGGGTGTTTCCGGGGTGCAGCGAGGCGTCCCCAATGGGCTGCAGGTCGTGGATGGGGCCCAGCAGGAGGCCGGCTGGAGGCCTCGCATCTCCGGTCCCAGGAGCATCGGGGAGGGAGGAGGTCAGGATGCTTGTCCACTCTCCTCTGTCCTCCCGACCTGGGAGGCCCCACAGGCTTCCTGTGGAGGTGTGGGGGGGGGCAGGGAGTGCCAGCAGCCCCCCAGAGGCTCAGCCCCCTGTGGGAGCAGGAGGAGCACTGGCCTGGCGGGCGAGGCCACCAGCTCACAGCAGGGCTATGGGCTTGTTGCCAGGGGCGCCCAGGTACTGAGAGGAGGCGGCGGCGGCCGATGCGGCCACACTGTCCGGAGCCGAGTATGCCGTGTACAGACCCGTCACCTGCAAGTCCGGGAAGGACTGATCGCTGCTGCCAGAGACGGGGGTCAGGCCCGAGGCCCCCGGCTCGCAGCCGAGGGGGGAGTCTCCGAAGGCCCCCAGCGTGTCCAGGCTGAAGCCCTCGTCCTTCATCTCCTCCCAGAGGTTCCCTTCCAAAGACAAAGGCGTTCAGTGAGCTGGCTCATGTCAGACCCGAGTTCCAATCCCCTCTTAGGGAGGGGCCGGGGCCACGTGTGGAATTTAAAGTTCCGTGTTGTCGGAGAAACACCCGGAGGAGCCGGAGTCCCAGCCCGGCCCTCACCTCCCCACGGGGCACCCCTAGGAACGTCACTTCCTCCTAGAGCCGTGGTTCTCAACCTTCTGGCCCTTTAAATACAGTTCCTCATGTTGTGACCCAACCATGAAATTATTTTCGTTGCTACTTCATAACTGTAATGTTGCTATTGTTATGAATCGTCATATAAATATCTGATATGCAGGATGGTCTTAGGCGACCCCTGTGAAAGGGTCGTTTGACCGCCAAAGGGGTCGCGACCCACAGGTTGAGAACCGCTGTCCTAGAGCCTCAGCTCCCCCGGATGAAACAGAGGCATCTGAGAACCCACCCCCTAAACCAGGGAGGCGTGGAAGCACTCAGCCCTCGTTCCGGGGTACCATCCTGGTCAAAGCCGGAGGACAAAACAGCAGTTCCCTTCCTTCATCAGGTTAACACACAAGAATCCGGGGGGAAGCAGGGAGGCTCCGACACCCCCGTTTCCCAGCTACAACCAACGCACTAGCTTGCTGGCTGACTACGCTGCGCGCCTGTCCATGTTCCTTGCTAGACATGCCTGGAGGGCAGAGGCTATGGGCTAGCACATAGTAGGTACACCAGTGTTAGTGAGTGGATGGACCATGAGCCTTCACTGAAACCTGACCTTCTCTTGTTTGTTCGTTCGCTCGTTCGTTCATTCATTCACTCACTCATTCATTCCCGTGCATGGAGGATGGCCGTGTGCCAGGCAGCGGGTCAGTGTGACCGGCCTGAGGTTGGCACATGCAGCTGCAGCAGCTACTGATGGGACGTTTGGGGTTGAAATCCTGGCTCTGCCACTGACTAGCCAGGTGACCCTGGGCCTTCTCTTTGCCTCAGTGTCCTCGCTGGCGGAATGGGCTATGCAGTGACCTCCCAGGCCTGCTTGTTGTGGGTGAGGTGGGAGGCTGCCTGTGAAATGCTGGGCCAGGCCTGGTGTACAGTAAGCACCATGAATGTATAGCTTGGTGTAATGTGCTGTTCCCAGGTGGCTGGAAGTGTTGGCTGAAGGAATGAGCTGGGGGTGAATGCAGACAGCCCTCCTCTGTCTTCCTGCCCCGCCCCGGCTCCCAGCTTCTCCCCTCCCCCTCTTCCCATCACCCATTCCTCCAGCCTCACCCTGCAGAGCAAAGTCCATGATGCTGGGGTCCAGAGCATCCACCTCGGGGTTCATGTCGGTGCTGATGTTGATGAAGTCCACGGGAGCCCTGCCCACGGCCGGGTGGGGCAGGGGGCTGGGGCTGAGGTCCGGCAGGGCGTGCAGGGGTGGGGTCTGGGCCGGGGCGGGCGAGTCGGGGGCCAGGTGTGCCTGGGGCTGGACCTGGTGGTGCAGGGGGACCGACTGCAGGGACAGGGTCATCAGCGGCTGGGGCGGGAGCTGGGAGACGGCCAGGCAGCCGTGGGCCATGGCCACCGTGGTGGCGTGGCTCAGCACGGGTGCCTCGGGCTCCCCCGGTTTGCCAGGGCGGCGGCAGCTCTCTGGCCGGTCCGAGATCAGCTTGTCCAGCTCCTCTGCAGGCAAGGGGGAGAGGTCACTCGGCAGCCCAGGCCTGGGCTCAGATCCCCGCGTGAGGACCCGGGTGACCTGAGCAAGCCTGTCAGACTCTGTGAACCTCAGGCCCTGCACCCAGGAGAGGGCATCGTGCGCTGCACAGGGTCATTGTGGGAATGTGATGAAACCCCAAGTTGTGCAGGAACGAGAGGCACCTCGGACCATGACAGTGGCTCCCCTCATGGGACAGTGCCTTAGAGCAGTGTTTCTCAACCTTCTGGCCCTTTAATACAGTTCCTCATGTTGTGACCTAACCATAAAATTATTTTTGTTGCTACTTCGTGTCACCCGAGAACCGCAGCTGCCAAGTCACCTCAGCTCAGCAGCTCCTGCGTTGAGCGTCTGCCCCCTGGTGGTCAGTGTGCATCATCACTAACAGTCGGACAGTTGAACATTTGCTTAGGCTTTTATATAGATAGATATCCATGTATAGATGTGTATGTGTGTGTGTGTGTGTGTGTGTGTGTGTGTACACATACATTCAACTATCTAAAGAAATGAGTGTGGATATATGCATATGTGAGTGTTGATAGATGCGCATACTTACAAATCTTTGATTTCTGCAGCATTAATTGGCAGAGGTAGAATAACCGGACCAATAAATGGGTACAGGGTGTAGGGTTTGGACCTATTACTTGGCCCTGGAAAAGTCGAACAACTTATGCTCCTACCCATTGCCCATGCAGGCGCCTGTTTCTCCACCTCCCGGCCCACTCTGGGCGCTACTATTTTTTAGACCCGTGTCAGCATTTCTGTGTGAGGACTAGGGATTGCTTAGTGAGCTTCCACAGCTGGTCACGTGTCTGCCCAGGCCCCTCAGCCGGCGGCCCCTGGGGAGGGTGGGGAAGGGAGGGTATGGAGTCACAGGAGGGAAGGAGGGCTGGGCTGGGGCGGGGCTGGGCGGTGATGTGTGTGTGTGTGTTTATGGGGGTGGCGGGCAGGTCTGGGCCTCACCCGGGTGGGCCATGCTCCGGTGGATGGCAGCCAGGTCCTTCCTCTTCCACTTGTGCATCTCCTCCTCCATCCTGTCGATGCGGGCCAGGTTGAGGGCCCACAGGCAGCCCTTGCGCGAGGACCCGCTCGTCTTGTTCTCCACCTTCTCGAAGCACTTGTTCAGGGACAGGTTGTGTCGCACCGAGTTCTTCCAGCCGTCGGGCGCCGTCTGTGGGGGGACATGGGCAGCAGGAGCCCCCTCCAGAGACCCCCCTGCAAACCCTCTCTCCAGGGGGGTCTCGGGCTCGGGCCTCGCGGGCTTACAGGACAGGGTCCAACACTCCACCTCGAGTTGGGAAGACGAGAGAGAGCGGTGGGGACTGTGGCAAACTGGAGGGCCTATGCCCTGATGAAAGGGGCAGCGACAGCTCAGCTCCATCATGGTTCCTACCTGAGAACAGGGCCCAGGGCTGCTGGGTTTTCCACTTTCTCGCCCACTCAGGGAGCAAGCAAGCGAGGGGTTGCTAATGCACGGATAACCGGTCAAGTGTATTAACTGCCAACCAGTTTTAAATGCTCTTAGTTTATTGTTCGGTAACTGGATACTGTAATGCACCTCAAACCGTACCCTATTCTCTCTCTCTGCCCCCCCTCCCTCCTTCCCTGCCCCCCCCCCCCCGCCACTATTTTACAATATTTCTGCTAAGCACACAGTCCAGGCTGGGGACCCCACAGCTTGGCACCTTCTGACCTTCTCCTTTGATGCCAACAAGGACAACATTACTAATGATGAAACCACGTGCCAGGAGCTTCCAGGCCTTTGACATGCAGAATCCTCTCTAACTTGCCAGCTGGGGACGACTCTCCCCATTCTTGCAGGCGAGGACACGGAGGCTCAGAGAGGCAAAGGCTCTCGCCGGG